AAGTCCTCTCGCACAAGATCTAGTCTCCCTCTGTAACAAGGGCGAAGACTATTTTGTAGGAGTCTAAAAATAGTTAATCTCCAGTAAAGGCCCGGTCCTCTAGTGCATGCCCCTATCTTTTTATGTAAAGGGGGCAAAAGACTATCCTATATGAGTCTAAAGACTGTCAATCTCCGATAAAGGCCTAGTCCTCTAGAGTAGACTTTGGTATTCCTTTGTTGTTGGGGTGAAGATTGTCCTGTAGAAGTTTAAAGACTACGAATCTCTGGTGAAGGCCTGATCTTCTAACATAAGCTCTGGTCTTCCTTTGTAAAAGGGAAAAAGACTATCCTTTAGGAGTCTAAAGATTGTCAATCTCCTATAAAGTTCTGATCCTCTAGCGCATACTCTGGTCTTCCTTCGTAATAGGGGAAAAAATGTCCTATAAGAGTTTAAAGACTAATAATCTTCGATAAAGGCCCGGTCCTCTGGCACAAGCTCCGATCTTCCTTCATAATAGGGGTAAAGATTGTCTTGTAGGAGTCTAAAAAAAGCCAATCTCTAGTAAAGGCACAATCCTCTAACGTAGGCTCTACTCTTCCTCTGTAACTGGGGCCAAGATTGTTCTTTAGGAGCCTAAAGATTGTCAATCTCTGATAAAGGCTTAGTCCTCTGATGCAGGAAACTGTCAATGTATGTCGATTGTGGCAGTCAAGTAATGTGCTAATGATGGTCGTTAAGAGGTAAAGGGCCGATGGAGGTTGAGAGGCAACGTGCCAATAATGGCATTTAGGCGAAGGGCTGATGATGACGGTGGTTAGGTTATACTCTATTGAAGGTAGTAAGCATCCATGATGATAAGGGCGAACAAACCGATGGATGGAGACGAGTGGTGTGCTGACGACAACATTCTAGCAACACACTGATCATGCCAACTAAGTTGAGACTTGATAGTGAAAAGGCTCTGATCTTTGCTTTAAGAAGAGTTGAAGAGAGATGCTTCAAAATTCCATATAGAAGATCAAGATAAATCTATCAAGGATGTCATCTATCTGATGGTGCTTTCCAAAGAATTTCTTGATTACATTAACCAGTTGAGAAATACTCATTATAGATGTTGACATATCGAAGATCGTTTGTTAGAGCGTTACTCAATGATGTTAACCTATGCAGTAGAGGTTAGAAGAAAACTACCAAGGATATTTTACCTATCTGATACTATTTGCAAAAGCATTGCTTGATGAGATTAACCTGTATGAAAGAGGATGAGAGAATTCCACCTAAGATGCTTGACCTACCATAATTATTTGACAAAGTATTGCTTGATTGAGTTAACTTGTATGGAAGAGATTATAATAGATCCACATGGGATGCTTGACTTATCCGAGGTTGTTTCCCAAGCATTGTTGATTGTGTTAACCTATATGGAAGAGGTCGAGAGAATCTACCATTGATGCTTGACCTGTCCAAGGTTATTTGTTAGAGTATTGCTTTACGACGTTAACCTATGTGTAAGAGGTCAAATTGAACTGCCCTGGATCGATTATGCCTTGATTGGGAGGGGGGCGAAGGTCGTGTGTATCCCAAATTGAATGTGAAGATTCATATATCATTAGACCATTACCACCCTTTTGAGGTCGAAACTATGATATTGCTTGAGTAGAAGTCCATCTAGGGCATGTAAAAATTTTGGAATTCACTTTTAGCTTTCTTGCATTTTTAGAAGCGTTTTGATAGATGGTTTCCAGCAGGATTGTTTTTTGGACACGTAAAGTATTATAGGGATCTTTTGACCAAAATTGTATTTGATATTACAACTATAATTTCACCCTAGTCCAAATTTGTTTATCGGGAAATTGATGAAGCAATAGTTATTGGTTGAGAGGTGATAAAACGTCAGTTTGTTGTTGTAGCAATGTTTCTCTCAATACTAAATTGCTTCTTTTGGACCTAATAATATATTATGATAAAGTGTATACCTTGCTTCAACCGTACCCAGGATGTTGATGTAACAACCTTTCGAGGTTGCAAGAAGAGTTCCCCCCCAGCTAGGGATTATTTCTCACAGACTGCGCCAAACTATTATAACCTGAAACATTCACGGTACTAGGGAGATATATAATTTAGCATTAAAGAATTATATGCATATCCATCATACATACAAATAAGAGAGACATGTGCAAGAGTCATAAGAGATATCAAGATTTATATGTGGGAATCCCTAATAAATGGAAAAAAAAGTCATAGGGCTTGCCAAGTTAAATAAATCAACTAGTGTTTATTGTTTTACAAATTATGCCCTTCCTTGGGAGAAGAAATTGGCTCAATATACATCATATATAGTACATTACATAGTCAGATGGAGGTCGGAAGGATCATATTCGCGCATTACTTGTTTCAAGTTGAAGGAATCTGGTGGCATGAGAGTTGCCCTCAACAAAATGTTAGTCTGTCATTTTCTGGGTAGGACCGTAGTCATGCTACATAAGTCAAAGGGATCGTACTCAAGCGATTGAGGTCGAAGGGACTGTAATAGAACAATGATGGATGGAAAGACTGTAGTGGATGGGAAAAAGTGGTCAGAGGGACCATAATCGACGGGTGACGATAGTCAGAGGGATCGTATTCGACAGACGATGGTGGTCAGAGAGATTGTGGTCAGGTCGAGATGATGGTCCATGGGCGACATTGGTTATAGGGACCGCAATCTACGAGCAACGGTGGTTGGATGTACTGTAATCCACAAGTGATGGTAGTTTGAAGGACCGTAGTTTATAAGAAACGGAGGTTAGAAGGACTATAGTTGGTAAGCGATGGTGGTCGGAGGGACTGCAGTCAACGGATGATGGTGGGCGAAGAGACCATAGTCTGTGCCATAGTGGTAGGTTGGATCACAGTCCATAGGCGATAGAGGTCAGAGGGATCATAATCAATAGGCGGTGGAGGTCAGAGGGACCGTAGTCAACAAGCGATGATAGTCGGAGGGACCGTAGTCAGCAGGAGATGGTGGTTAGTGGTATCATATTCAGTGTGCGATGTTGACCATAGTTAGTGGGCGACAATGATCGAAGGAACATAGTCGCCGGGTGACATAGGTCGGAGGGCAAGTAGTCGACGGGTGATAGTGGTTGAAATGACCATAGTCAACAAGCGACAGTGACCGGAGGGATGGTAGGTGACGGTCGACGGAGATTGAAAGGTCAGTAGTTAGAGGGACTATAGTCAATGGGCAACGAATGTCAAAGGGACCAAAGTCGGTAGGCAAAGAAGGTCGTAAGGCTCGTAGTCAGATAACGATGGATAAAAGGACCATAGTCGACAGGCGAAGATGGTCAACATACCATTTTAGGCGGGCAACATTGGTCGGAGGGACCGCAGAAGGGGGCGACGCTGGTCAGAGGGACTGTAATTGGTGAGCGTTGAAGGTCGGATTGACCGTGGTTAACGGGTGACGGTGGTTGGAGGGACCATAATTGACAGGACATAGTGGATGGAGGGATCATAGTCGACGGACCATGGTGGTCGGAGGGACAGTATTTGGGGGGCAATGGTGGTCGAAAGTGCCATAGTTGGGTGATGGTGGTTGGAGGGACCGTAGTTGGCGAGCGACGGAGGTTTGAATGTTCATAGTTGGGCGACGGTAGCCAAAGGGATTGTAGTCGGTGGGTGATGGTGGTTAGAGAGACCATAGTCGATGGGAGATGATAGTCGATGGGAGATGGAGGTCGTAAGGTTGGTAGTTAGGCGAGAGTGGACAGAGGGACTGTAGTCAGCTTACGATGGAGGTCAAAAGGGTTATGATCGGGCGATGGTGGCCGGTGGGAGACCCGACGATTGTGGCTGGACAGAGGTTCAACGGTGATGGTCATACAAAGATTCAGAAACATTGGTCAGACGAATAGGGTTCACCTCCAGTGGCGTCGAGGTTGAAGTATAGGATTCTTCAAGCCTTGTATCTTTTTTGATCTCTAGCTCAAGGTCCAAGCCTCCTCTTCACGTGGGAAGAGAGAATCTATTTATATTTTTTTTAGAGTAACCTGCTCCATAAATATGGAGAATATCAAGGGAAAATTTAGAGTATCCATCAAATGAACTATTGATTCCTTCAATCATAGAGTATTCATGCGATATTTAAGTGTCATAAGGATGTCAGAATTAATCAATCTTGAGCTCATTGAATTCGCCTCATTGAGCCGCTCGATTTGACAATAAGCATGTCACATTTGGAGATCATTTGATCATCCAAATTATGCTTTGAAACTTTCAAATGTGCTTCGATCTATTGATTTAGGCCCATTTGTGCTCGGATTAGACCGATTTCGGTATCATTAGGTTTGTTTCCTTGAGACGTTCAATTTGACTATAAGTTTTATGAAAATGAAGTTTATATGGTCCCAAATTTAATTTGAAAGTTTCTAATTTGAATATACCTTAAAATTCGTGCTCGATCAATACAATTCTTAGTGATGTATCAAATATATTATCATCTACATGATTATTGCAAAATTTTAATGATGCCTTATGATTCAAAGATAGAATCAAAGGGCGTAGGAGATGGCTCTCCCTCTTACAATTAAAATAAATACTCTTATATGTTTGTATAAAGCAGATTTTTTTTTCATTTACAAATTATTTATAATTATATAAAATATGAAATTTCGAACCCCTAAATTTAAGATTCATTTTCTTAACCACTTCATCCTTTAAATCCTAATTACACCACCTTTGTAACCTTACAATAGTGTATCCACCAGCAGGTAAGAACATGAGAGGCAAGCGGATTAGGATGAAATTAGAAACTTGCTTCATTTAAGGGGGAGATATGAGCCTAACAAAAAGAAATAATTTTGACTCATATATTTAACAAGCGAGCCAATCAATATTGAACTCACTCAAATTCCAATTGTTTCAAACATATCTTAAACATGGGCTAAACTCATTTTAAACCAACCAATAAACAAAGTCGCCATATTCTTAAACAAAAGAGTAAGAAAAATAAGTACCTACAGAAAAACACACCCTTATGGTAATCATAAATTATTATTTCTTTGATTATTTCAATTTTATACATATAATAGCTATATGTAAAAGAACTACATAAAATAAAGTGATAGATCATTCTAATAAACTGATCATTCTGAAAAAAAAAAAATAGATAAAAAATGAAACCTGGATTTCTGCAGGAATATCTATGAGGCAGCCGAAGTGGAAAAAACTGCTTGATCGTTCTCAATAAACTGATAGTTCTGATAAACTTCGAGCAGAAGCTCTCTGCAAGGGACAAGAGCGCCAAGCTTGATGCAGGCAAGGAAAGCACCAGAGAGTTTCCTATGAAGGCTGTAGGACTCTTCAGGTGGCGGTGTTAGCCTGTGCTTTAACATGGTGGGTCCGAGACTGGTGATACTCTGAGTCACATTTGTTGAACGAAAATCATAGCCGCCAAGTTTAGCAAATGGCAAACCAATAATGAGACCTGCCTGGACATGCGCATCAAGCATGACCTCCGACTCCTCGCCGGTCAGAAATCCAAGCCTCCTCGACATCTCAATCACTACAGTTCTATCACCATTTGCACAGCCCATTACCTAAATCAATGTAGTTGTATGATGACCGCAATCAAGAGCATATGCATATGAGAAATTTATAATTGGGACAATTACCATGCGAAGATAGTCATCCACAAAACTACGTGGGTACTCACGAGCTGCACCAAAGTCGATGAGATTGATCATTCGTTTCTCATTCTCATAAAGAAAATTGCTCCAGTTTGGATCAGTCTATCATCAATGCCAAAAGTATACTTAATATTAAGAGAGGAAGAAAATTAATAGCTTAAACGAACATTTATTCATATAAATATATTCCAGAAATTCAATACACTTACAACAATAACATCAAGCCTTTATCCCATTACGTGGGGTCGGCTACATCAATCCTTTTTCTCCATTGTCATGTTAAAAGTCAAATTCTTATTTAAACTTAATAAAGAAATGTCATTTCTAATATTTTCTAATCAAGTTTTTTTAAGTCTACTTCTATATTTCTTAACATAGGCAAAATTTAATACATCTACTCTCCTAACAGAGTCATCGGACGGCCACAAATTTATGTGACTAAACCATCTAAAGCGACTTTCTCTAATCTTATATGCCACAGGAAATTCAATACATCTACTGCAAATAAATCATCAAGAAATTCATCTAAAATCTACAAACCTGACAAGGTTTTCCTAATGATATAAAACAAGAAAAAAAAAAACTGTAACTATCTACGTCATGATAATTACACCCTAACAGTAATTTCTTTTTATTATTATTTTGAAGAAGATGGTCCTGATTCCTGAAGCAATAATTAAACCTGGCTCCATTATCACCAATGAGATAATGGATTTGATAAACATACATCAACTCCCCATAACCCAGTGCACCCTTTAAGGTTTTTTTACTAGCAAAGCATTCCTTATGCAGCAAAAATCATAAAAAGTGAACCATCTTTAAGTTTTATTAAAGAAATCTGAATGCAGCGTTGAAAACTAGTTCTACAATTTAATATTGTGGGCTCCGAAAATTTATGTCCCAACCTCTTCATATCTTTTTATCGACGTCGAGAGTTTTAACAAACTATATTCAAGGGTAAATTTTTAGAAGACATTGAATTTTAAATAAGAAATTGGCCAGAGATTTCACCCTCATTTCATGGTGACTTTATAATTTGAGGTCTTGTTTCCCATAGGCACAGACCTCTGATTAATTACCACTTCCGATAATGACCAAAAACTTTACATAAAGGCTAATTGTTAGATAAACAGTAACTATATAATTTATAGTAGCAATAATTTTAGAATTTAGATTTGGAATTTTTAGGGTTTGCAAATTTACCTTCAGACACTTAAAGTGACCGGTGGGGGAATGATGATGAGCCTAGTCAAAATCCCATGATTCCATTGTCCCAGGCCATCATGATCCCTAATCGATCTAACCTGATCGAAGGATCCTTTTTAGGAGTCATGGTTGTTTCACCTAAGGATTTTTTGTAAACTTAGGGTGAATGTTTGCCTAAAAAATATATTCGAGTCAACCTTAACAAACAGATGACTTTCTATCCTATTAAGTATATCATATAATTCCTTATTCAAAAGTTTGGAGCCATTGAGAAATATTTATTTAAATTAATCATACCTCAATCAGCTCACCAAATCCTCATCATTTGCACGTATCGATTAGAACCCGACCCGAACACGCCCAAAATTTTGATTTTCACCTATCAAAAACCTCACCCAATAGGGTGTCAATCTTTAGCTGATTCACTTGACCTAAACATGTCGGCACTGTCTATTTTGTAAATGGACGTTGTTTTGGCTATTTTGACTTTTAGTTGACGCATTTCAAATGGATTTCATGCGACATGACATGCCTTTGCTTTTCACTTCGTCGCACATGGTTTAATGGACCCGGAATAGTTATAGATGTCAACAGATATTATACTATAAGACGTGTAATTCAGCTAATATGATAGAAGAAATATGCAGGGAAATATATTAATTCACACCTACCTGCATGAATTGGAAAACAAATAACTCTTTCAAGGTCAGCTGAAGCAATTTTGTCCCAACATAGTTCCGAGTTTCCTGACTTAGAAGTGCAACTTTATCAATAGGAACTCCTGAGCATTTACAAGCACAAGATTGTCATAATGGTTGAAAAAGCATCCGGCATATGTAATACTACAGCACGACCATAACTGACATGATGAAGAAATGGCAAGTAACAACGCACAAAAATATGGCACCGGAGAAACAGAGAGAAATTTTACTGCCAGAAAGATGAATGTTGATTAAATAAAAAGAAAACAGTACAGAACAGTCAGGACCTACATGCAGCTCTATGGTCAATATTATGAATCACAACAGCCTTGTGAAATCAGACATTTCTCTTATGACTCCTCCCTACAGAGGCATTAATTGCAGAAGTGGAGCACTGCCACTGCAAGTAATCATATCTGCTGCCAATTAAGTGTCGTGGACAGCAGGCCCAAGTTTATGCAAACCTGTACTGTTTCTCTAGCAGTAAAAACAGCAGACTGAATCTTAAAACTAGTCAACAAATGAAAAAGTTTTCGAAATTCCTGCAATAAAATGCTATTCCAAGGTCATGACATCTTCAGCAAGGGAAGCAGGGGCTTCTCCTAAAGCCTCAAAGAATGAAACTCAAGAAAAAACACAAATAGTTGCTGGAAATTCTTAACTTTAAAATAAAAAACATCCACATATATGTGACAAAATAAAGTTTAAAAATAGCATCATCTCAACATGGACAAAAAGGAAAAGAGCAGAATATATGTTCCTTTGCTCAAATAATTTGGAAGCAATGCATTCTGAAAGTTTAAAAAAATAGTATTAAGATGTGGAAAACAAGACAGCACATTAAATGTCAAGTAGCTTCCCGCAATTTCATTAAATGCATGTCGTAACAAAAACTACGAGCAAATGAAAAAAAGGTTAGAAATCCACCTATAGTCAAATTCCAATCAATTTTAATCAAAATTACACAGAACAATACTACGAATTTGTATTTCATTCCAGGTTCATTGAGAGTGTGATATGCCTTCATATCAAAAACAATCAACAAACCAATACAAATTCAGCAAACAACAGATTTTTATTGTTAAACAAGGAAATATACAAAAGCAAGATACAAAGGTCCTATTTTGAGAGGACCGTCTCTCTCAAATCCTAGATGCCGCAAGGAACCCTCACAAAAAGAAAACTATAGCAAACACTCTCAATTTTAATTTCAAAGTATGAAATCCTTCCTAATTGATCCCTTCATTAATTACTATTCTCACATAATGAATTAATATTTTATTGGGTCCCATAATAAGAGCTGAAATCTATCTAGGTTTAGCCCCCCCAAGGCCGCCGATGCATCAATACTCCCCCCACCCCACCCCCCGCGCGAAAAGTACCACCTTGTCCTTAAGGTAGAATGAAGGGAAGTGTTGTTGAATAATCTTATAGGACTCTCACGTGGCCTCATGCTTCGGTAGGTCCTTTCACCTAATCAACACAACCATGCTTCCATGTACTCCCTATCACACTCCTTTGACCTCCAATGGTTCTAGAAATACCTCCCTGTCGTCCGTCAAGGTCATGGGAAGTGAAGAAGACGAAATGTGCTCTCCTATCACCCATCACAACTGGGACACATGAAACATCGGATGGATGGCTGACGACGGTGGTAATTATAGGCGATATGCCACGGCCCTGATGCGCTCCACTATCTCGTATGGACCAAAAATACCAAGGCGATAACTTATCATTTCGTCTCCTTGCCAAGTTTTTTAGTCTGTAGTGACAAAGCTTTAAATAAATCCAATACTCTGGTCTGATAACACTTTGAATGGTGTGGTCTGAGCTACGAAATGATAGGAATTGTTATACCAATACTCTACCCAAGCCAACCTTTTTGCCCACAACTTTGGAGTATCTGATAGAAAGCACCGCAGATAAGTCTCCACACTACGATTGACAACCTATGTTTGTCTATCCGTCTGACGATGATAAACAATGCTCCTTTTCAAAACGTTTCCTGCATTTTGAACAATTCCTTTTATAACTAGCTCAAAAAAAATTTGTCTTGATCTGATACAATCAATTATGGGATCCCATGTAGTCTCACTAACAGCTCATCAATAAAAATAGTCTACACAGAACCTCCAACTCCTATCCTCCTTAAACAACAATACAACACTAAAGAAATGGCTCATACTGGGCTTGATAATTTTAGCTTCAAGCATCTCCCGAATCAAGTTCTCAATCTCATCATTTTGGATCTGTCGGTAGCAATCATGGTTTAAAATTGCGCAATATGAGGCTCTCCTTGAGGCCCGCCTTTGCGCAATTCCAGTAAAAAACGCCTCAATGCTTACGCCTCGAGTTTTTTTTATGAGGCTTGCGCCTCAACTTGGTTGAGGCCCGTCTCGCCTCACTGGCATGAGGCTTACACCTCACGCTATATATATATATATATATATATATTTATGTTTACGCAATCTTTTGATTTTGAGGCTTACGCCTCAAAACGCCTTGAGGCTTACGCCTCGCCTCACGAATGAAAAACGCCTCAATACCTGAATACGCAATTTTAAACATTGGTAGCAATATGGCCGGACATTGATGGGGGATACTCATTCCCTTATAATAATAGAGTACTCATGTTCCCGTGGGGGTGGTAATCCCTGGGGAAGCTAGAATACATCCCTGAACTACTGAAGAAAGGTTGGACAATGTCTGGAATGTCCTCTCCATCCTAGGTCTCTCCTCCCTCCAGACTCTAAAGCTCCACCAAGAATCTCCCTCTTTTCCCTTGTAGGACACGAACCATGATTTTCAAAGAAATCATTACTTTTGATAAGATGGGTCCCCCTTAATTATCACCTTTCTTCCTTCCACTTGGATTTTCATGGCCAATGCTTTCCAGTTTACCTTGGTCTCTCCTAAAATTTGTAGCCAAATTCTCAAAATAAAATCAGAACTTCCCAATTCCAATGGGAGAAAATCCTCACTGATGTGAATCCCTTGCAATTCTACCATCATACCCTAACATACCCCTTTGCTCTTCTCCATCTTTTCAGTGCCTACCATCACCCAAAAATATCCTGTGTATACCAGTTTCATCCCCGGTTTGTCTACCACCTTGTTTGATATAAAGTTCTAGGTAGCGCCGTTGTCCACCCAAATCGCCACTGCCTCTCCTCATATTTTTCCCCTCACTTCAATAGTGTGATTCAGGGTGAATCCCACGACAGAGTTCAATGAAACTTCTGCTACCTCCAAGTTCACGGGCTCCTCTTCCTTTGCCTCTGCCTCCACCTCGTCCTCATCACACACAATGAGAAACTGCAAGGTACGATTTTTACACTATGTCCCAGTGTAAATTTATCGTCGCATCTGAAACATAGTCCCTAGCAGTTTAGTATCAATTAGCCTCTTGAAATTCCCTCCCTATCAGGCTCCCAAACTACCCTCCTTTGGAGTTTCCCTTTTAACTAGTACAGTGCGCCCTAGGTGTTACAAAAGTGTTTTCAGTGTTGTAAGAAACTCCTCTACTGACTCCTCGATCATCTGAGCCAACTCCATCATCTCTCCCAAGTCACGGGGCCTTACCACCTGCACTACTGCCCTCAACTCTGGTTTGAGGCCTTTCATGAAATTGCTTTCCAACAAGGTCTCCAATAACCTCCCACGTCCTAATAGAAGCTCAAAACTTTCTCGATACTCCATCACCGTGCCTACCCGTGTCAATGCAAAGAATTGTTCATAGTAATCATCATCTTGCTGGACTTGAAAGCGCTCCAACAAACATTCCTTAAACTCCTCCCACAAACAGATTGAGTACCTCGTCTCCCTCTATTGGTACCATGCAAGTGCCTTTCCTTCAAGATATAGAGTGGTGGCCATTAGTCTCTCATTTTGTGTCAACCCATTCACTGCAAAGTATCTCTCCACTCTATATATCCACCCATGTGCATCTTCCCCTTAAAATACAGGTATTTTTAGCTTCTTAATCTTCTAATATCCCCCGCCCTAATGTCCCCTTCCGACCCCATGCCTCCCATGAAGCGAGAAGTGGGGTCTCTCCACGGTTACCTCTCCTCCCTCCATTAATTTTCCCTCCTTCCTCCAAATTCAGCCCGCCTGTTTTCTTCTTCTAGTCCCCCCTCCTACCTACATATTCCCTACCCATCCCCTACTCGATAGAGGTTCCAGGTGGGGTATTCCTCTTCCCCTCCTAAATTCCCCCCGCCCCCCCAACCACCTCTTCATCTTTCCTTGGAAAATCATCTTCCGGATATCTCTTTGCTTTCCGGGGGGGGTGGGCAATTTAGTATGCAGCTCCAACGTCCGTTTCATCTCTCCTCCACATTCTCAAACCATCTTTCCAATGCTGAAATGCGTTCATTCACATCAACTAGTTGCCCTACTTTCCCCTCTGGCTTTTCTTCCAACGCCTCAACTCTTTTTCCAGCCATCAGTACTCAGATCAAGGTTTTCACAGCAAAAAACAACAACTTCAAAGCGAATCTGGCCTCCAAACAACAAAAATCAGCATACAAGAAGGAAAATCTCAGCATAAATCAGCATAAAAAAACTAAGATTTCGATCCAGGAAAGTGCTCTTATACCAATTTGATATGTCTTGATTCCATTACATGGGTTGACTACATGAATCTTTTTTCTCCATTGTGTCATGTTAAGAGTTAAATTTTCATTTAAATATAATAAAAAATATCATTTCTAATATTTTCTAACCAAGTCTTTTTAGGTCCACCTCTACCTTTCTTAGCATAGGCCAAATCTAATACATCTACTATCCTAACAGGGTAATCACAAGGCCGACGTTTTATGTGACCGAACTATTTAAGGCAACTCACACTAATCTTATGTGGAAATACTCCAACCTTTTCACATATATGCTCGTCTTTTTAAAGCAAACAAAATTAAAACTATATAAGATAAATCCAATCATAAGGATTGAAGGATAATGGCATCCAAGACTGAATATAATACCTGACACAAACTCTGTTGTCAAAACCTTTCTGCTTGACATTTCATCAATGACCATAGGAACAAAAAGGCCTTCCGAATCAGATAGTAGCGTCTGGAATCTCTTTTGGTTGGCAGCTTCAAGAACATAATCACATTCTCTAGATAGTTCTTCTCTTGCCACCTAAATATTGTTAATGATTATGGAAAGAGAAGTTAAGAAACATACCAAAAAACTAGTTTTCTTCTCTTCGTTTATATTAATACAATATTGCTCAAACAGTCAACTCTCCATTATCATGCTGCAAAGAACATATTATAAATGAACTAAGCAATCCATTCATAGAATTTAATCAAGGGTGCAAAAAGAAGCCTTTTTGTCCTGATTTTGTACCATTTGGCTTGTTTTATGCCTTCTGCAATTTAAATTTGATACCTCTAGTGGTAGATAAGATTAGAGAGAGTTGCCTTAGATGATTTGGTCACATAAAACGGCAACCTTCTAATGACCCGATTGGGAGGGTAGATGTTTTAGATTTAACATATGTTAAGAAAGGTAGAGGTAGACCGTAAAAAAAAAAAAAACTTGGTTAGAAAATATTAGAAATTACCTTTCTTTATTAGATATAAATGAGAATTTGATTTTTAATCGGACACATTGGAGAAAAAGGATTCATGTAGCCGACCACACGTAGTGGGATAAAGGCTTGATGTTGTTGATGTTGTTGTTGTTGTATAGAATGAAAGATTAGAACACAAAATAAAAAATAGATCTATATACTGAGTAAAAAATCTAAATTACACATTTCTTTTAATTTTCAATATATTTTACAATAAAAGTTAGCTATGAAGTAAAAAAATTACAAAAAAAATCTCAACTCTTTTCAGTAGAAATCATGCACATTCCAGAAATCTTCATCTTCTTTAACATTGTAACGCTTAAACAAATAAACATGAAAAAAAAAAAATGTGGACATTTGGGCTTTGTTACTCTTCTCCAAAAGCGTTGAAATTCATTAATTACAAGCAACAAAGGAAAGCATAAACAATAACAGAAAATAGACTAATGTTCTCAATTAATGCTCGGCATAAACATATGAAAAGAAAGTTTACTTTCTTTAAGATCATAGCTTAAAGAACTTATCATTAAATAATTATAAAACCTTACAAAAAGAAAGAATTTACTCTAATGAATTAATTACCTTCATAGCCCTATCAAGAAAAAGCCCTTTAGGAATGAGATTTGTGTATTCCAAAAGCCTTCTCATATTTTCAATGTCACTATCAATGCTACTTGCAACACCAGGGTACTGAATTTTCATTGCAACTTGAAGACCATTCTTCATCACTGCTCGATGGACCTGTCAAAACATAACAATCCTTTATCATCTTAAACAAAAAGAAGCACACAAGCTCAGGCTTTGTGCATTATTGACATAAGGGATGGTGGGGCAAAGATAATTGGAGGGACGGACATTATTTACAATACTAAAGGCAATGCAAATATTTTCATATCAACTTGATTCCAACATATCATTCATCAAAGAACATGGACCATTTATCTTTCTTTATTACAAATCAACGAAACAAGGAGGATAACAATATATACATTGCATAGATCACCCAACAAATAACAACCATACAGCATGTCTAAACAATAACCATATAGCAAGAGCTCTTTTCTGTTCAAGATCTAAGTTCGATTTCTTCCTTCCACACCAATAATCTGAATCAGATGACTTCAAGGCCAATGCAGGCAAAAGAGTAGCTAATAGAGGGGAGAAGAAATAATTTTTCCATTTTATCATGGTTTAGTTTCAAACTAAATCCAAAATATTATGAAAGGTATTAGGTGAAGAAATGAAATGAAATTTTATTACAACTTATGTAAATTTAAGTAAAATGCTTATACAATAAAATAGAAAATATTTATATAAATTATATCCAGGAGGTCCTCCAACATAAAAAATTATGCTAATTAGGGTTTGGTAATTTTTCTGAAATATATGTGACTTTTGATAGTTTAGAAGTTTCTATAAGTTCAGAAGGTTGTGAAATCTTCAAAATGTACCTAGAAACTTACAGAAGATAAAAAATGATAACCATAAGCCAGCATAAGCATTCACAATCTTCCTTCAAATATGTTGGTCATCCGAACCAAGGAAGAAAATCTAAATGTTGTTGAATAATTAATCAGAGGTTGGTAGGATATTTAGCATAATTTTCTATTTTGGTGCAATGTACATGATTGAATATAAATTTATTCATATTTGAATTTGACTCTTCCATTCCTATAAATAGAAAACATTTAGCATGTTATCAAGCTCAAAGAAAGAATATTATACTTTTCTCAGTTCTCTTTGCATAGCCAATTTGTTAAATTCCTGTGAATACCTCTCAGTATTTTGACATATCAGCCTCATTTTTTATTAGAATCTAGTGATTTAAAGACCAATTTTTTTGTGATTTGTTTCCCTATAACTTTCTAGCTGAGCTTGCTTATTCAACCTCCATTGAATCTAGATTCATATCATTACAAAACACCTATGTTGCACCGATACGGATACGGCGACACAGATACGACACGATACGGATATGGACACGTCAATTCTTAGAAATATAGGATACGAGTATGGCACGGATACGGTATTATAATTTATAAATTATACATAAAATTTAAGAAAGCAATCAAAGCATAATATTTGAAATGACAAAAAAATGAAAGCAACGTCATTTGTAGCCTTGTAGCTTATAAAATCAAAATAAAAGTTAGCAATAAATATTTAAATGTCTAGTAATAACAACAAAAGCATAAACAAATTGTCTAGCACATGAAATTTAAACTATTCAATAGAAGGATTGATAGAATTAGCTTCTTCAGTGAAATTAATACGACGCCTTTTTTGGGTTTTTTTCCGTTTTTCAACAGACACGTGTATCGGATATGCGTGTCCTTTTGAAATTAAACAATATTTTAATTGAATATGGTAAAGCCGTATCCGACACGTATCGGTGCCGAATCGTACGCATATCCATGTCTGACACATATCCGATACAACACGTCTTCATAAATAGTTGTATTGGTGCAACATAGCAAAACACTTCTCATTCCTCTATTGATCCATTAGTTTAAAGCATCTATTAGAAAAACCTTAAAAGCTTCACATAAAGCCATAACCTAAATATCAAACCAGTGCCAAAAGTCCTCCACACTCCAATTCATAATCAAATTAATTTCAATATGCAATCCAAATAAGATTAAAGTGTGGTAATCATTCAGAATCAAGTAAATATAAGGCACTAGAAAATTTAAAAAAAGCTCAAAGTAAAATATATACTAATTACTAAGGTTAAAAAAATCAAATGGATGAAAATCAATGACCTGCCCTATACTTGCTGCAGCAACTGGTTCATAATCAAAACTAAGCAATTTTGATGACCAAGCGGTACCCAATTCTGCATCCAAAACTTCATTAAGCTGACTCCTTGGCATTGCATCTGCACCTTGCCTAACAATATCCAAAGCCGCTAAGATCTGCAAAAGAGATGGAAGTCAAAAAACAGTAACTATGACAGCGCTACATGGCAAGTATTATGTAGATGGAACATCAATTGATATGGCATGCTTCTCCATTTGAACACGCTTAACTAAAAATTACATAGTGCATAAAGCTATCTAATAAGTAGAGTAGTAGACTCTTCTCTTCTTCCAGCAATAAATCATTCAATGGAGAACTTGTCAAATTGAATTAGTTTCTTTTATGTACTATTTTATTTCAAATAATTCAAATATTGAATACAATGAAGCTGGGTTTACATGAAACCTTCATAATCAAATACAAGTGAATAAACCAAGGTGCTGTGAACTATTTGTAAAGTACAGAAGATATAGAATTTCTTTTGAAGCAGAGCTCATACGTTAAAGCTTCACATTTGTAATATGATGACCATCAACTTGTCTGGCATCCAAGCACCTCGGACTCCAAAGTTCTTAGTAGAAGGAAATGCAGAAGACGAAATAATATAATGAAGCTGAATATAAATTGCAAAATAGATGAAGGTTTCATGATACTACAAGTAGAAGACATTTTTCAATGAAACATCTGATTCTGATAATTCCAACTCAATCTGGAAATCAAAAAGGGGCATGCCCATGCACAAGGTTCTTGCCTATTGCAATCTGCAGCATCGCTATTTTAATAAAAGTAATTTCCATGAATGGAACCATGACAAACAAATAAAATCGTATCAATATAATCATTACGCCTTTGGCCCGTCCATTTATTTTTTCATAAAAATTAACTTTACGCTACATTAAGGATTCCTACAGAAGCAAGATTACTCATCAGCATAAATTACTCTTTTTAAAGGCGCAATTATACCTTCGTGCTTTGAATTAGATTACTATCAATTAGACACAAATTGTTACTGGCTTTCATTGCATATAATACTTGTCTAGTTGAATGTTACATTCTTGTAAAATGGCTGAATAAACGAGTAAGTGTAGCTATCACCTAAATCGCTAAGCATGCTGAAATAAAGTGTAAATTACTTCTGGGTCCTTGAGGTTTAAGGCACGATTAATTTTGGTCCATGTTTTTGATTGTCCTGCATTCCGGCTCCTAGTGTTTTTTGGTATTTCACTAAGGTCCTCTCACTTAGCACAAATCTTCAAAGTGACACCAACAAAAAAAGTTTCTTAAAATTAGCTGTTTAGTTTGCTCGTGTGATTATGCACGCTTATCATTTGCTTTTCTAGTATTAATGTAATGTTAATAAAGTCTAGAACAAAGCGAATTGTATCAGAATGTAATTTATGCTAAGATAATTAAACAAACTACCATCTTTTATATATAAAAAAGGCGCACTAATAAAATGTAATGATCCATTACAAAAGGGAGTTTCCAAGAGAACAAAAAGGGAAAATCTATTCAACAATTATTCCCCCACTTGGCTTCCTATTGGTTGGCCTGAATAACATAATTGATGGCTACAATTAGAGGCACAAGATGATTTTAAATAAAATAGTGATAAATTAAAGATACAAGTTATTCTTTCTAAGTAAAATAACAAAGAATAATAGTCATGAAATAGCATCAATACCTGTGGCGGCACCATGCTCTCATCCTGGATGCTAAGCATCTGGCCCAATTTCAAGGCAGCTCCTCGCATTCTACATAAAGCAAGAGCTAAGCGCTCTGCATTTCGCTCGGACAACAAAGGGGAACGGACATATTGTTTTCCTTCTGATTTAGGCATGCCATAAAGAAGCCTATTTGCAGATTCTTGAATTGTACCCCATGCAAGTCCAGCTCCCAAACCAGCAAATCTTAATAAAATATAAAAATAGTCTATTTATTATATCATATAAGAATAACTTGACTGAAAAAATCAAATTGCAAAAAAAAAAATAATGATAAAAAGATTCCTTCCAGTATTCAATAGGATTTTGAAGGCAGGCACTAAAAGAGGGGCTATAAAATAAAAAGGCATATGAAAAATTGAATTTTATGCATGGACAATAAATAAAATACCACTTAAAATTAACCACCAAATAATGATGATGCAAAAAATGGTGTTCATGATTGCTAAAATTAATCAAAAGCACTAAGAAAAAGTGATGCAAGCATCATCAACAAAAGATCCATCATTGTCACTATCTAACACACCATCAGATCTACGGTAGAAATATAACCTAAAATAGATTTATTTACAATAAAGATATGAAAAATGCCACCTTATTTGGAAGATCCTCTCAGAAAAAACTTTTCTTATCTGAAAGTCCCCAAGTCTCCAACCCTCTCTCTCTCTCTCTCCATTTGCAGAACCCCCTCGTTTTGCTCTCTTATAAGAAAAACTATACCAAGCCTCTCTCCATCTCTTTCCATGCCCAATTTGGCATGAAAAAAAGCCTCTCACTTTCACTTCCCAGTCTGTTGTATTAGTGTCAAACGATTCCTGAGATCATGGTGAAGATTGAAACATCATTAATGTAAATACAACACACCACATCCCCCACCCACATTAAAATCGTATTCCTAAAAAAATAGATAAAATTATCAAAATGATCCCTTAAATTTTTTGTGAGGGTAATTACGTTATTTTTAATTAAAACATTTAATAAATATAAGTTTTTAGGAATTATAATTTTTGTAAAAAAGTTTATTAAACTTTTCTTTAATTTCAAGATTTCTAATCATTTCCACCAATAAACAATCCAAATAAAGCGTCAAAACTAGCAAAGCCATGAAGCGGTATAGCAATAACTGCGAGACGACTGTTGACTATAATTAAAATTAAATTTGAGCTATTAATTTAATTGCACGTTAAGTACAAGTAACTTATTAATTTTAATTTTAATCATAGTCAACAAGTTATAATAATAAATAATTTAATTATAAATTAGCTTAATTGTTAAATAATTTAATTACTAATTAAAATATTATTTATTAAATTACTTATTTAGGTGTTAATTTAATAAGTATTTTATATTTAATTATATTAATAATTATCTAATTAATTAGTTATTTTTTAATAACTAATTATTTGACTAATACTCATATTAATGATTTAATTAATTTAAAAGTATTATTTACTTAGTTTAATTATTAAATATATTGCTAATTATCTCATTAATCTAGGATTTGCTTTTTCATCTTTTTCATTTTGCTTTTTCCTCATCATTTCTTTATGTCTGCTTCTGCCTCGCGTGCTTCACGTGAAGTGAAGTTTGACGGGATGAAGTAGTGTGTTGAAAGAGTAGCTAAATAAGCTTCTTCTCCTCCTTCGAAGACATCGGATCGGAAGTCACGACGGGAGTTGCTGCAAAGGTAACCATCTTTATCCCTTTTGCACGCTTCATTGGACAAATCTCGTAAATCTGTAGAACCCCATGATTTAGTAAATCCAGAATTTACGGCAAAAGAGGTAAACGAAGGATTTATTACACTGTGAGATTTATGAGGTGCTCAAATCCCGTTTGGCTTCAAACTCTTGCGAGGGTTGTGGGAGTGATAGTCGACGAGTGCACGAGATGCTAAGGTCGAATTGCATTTGACGTGCGATGCGGGACGGTAGGTTGAAACTATTGTTCACGCACACTGGGTTGTAAGATGTTGGAGTCCTGTGTGGCTATGGTTTTGATGCTTCTAGAGGGTTTGAACAATTCACTTATGTGTATAATTAAAAGCTTATGTAATTTTTTTCCAACTATACCCTCGGTGTGTGTTGGGTAGATATAAATTTACCGTTAAAAGTTAATGGCAAGACCAAATAGATATCGTTTTAAAAGAGTTGAGGGACCAAATTAGTCCCTCAAAAGAATTGGGGACCATATTAGTCCCTCATAAATAGTTGAAGGGTCATTTTGATCCTTTTCTTTATAAAAATCCAAATTGCCATCCCCTAAATAGTAACCTTGCCCTCCATTTTTCCCTCTCCCCCAAATCAACTCTCTTCTTCATCATCCAAATTTTTTTGTTTTTCATACCCTTTACCTGTTCCCCTCCTTGGAAGTGGCTCAAAAGATGGCATCTCTTCTTCCCCTAAAATTTTCACCTCTTGATCCCATATTTGTCAACGGCGCAAAATGGCATGCGGCACATCTATGGTGCCAATTGCATGGCGCGACATAAATGTTCAAGTTGGCGTACATCATTTGCGCCACGTGTATGCAATGGCGCATGACACAATAACACACAGCGCAAGCAATTTGAATTTTAGGAATTTTTTAACATAATTATAAATAATTTTAATATTTATAAATTTTAATTTCAAAGATAATGTAATAATTAATTTTAATGGTATTTGATATGATTAAAATAATTTAGTTAGGTTTTATTAGACTTTATATAGATTCTGCTGCCCTATCCCTCACGAATGAAGGTTGTTGTATCTCGAATGCTTTGACGCTCATGAAGGAAGCGAGTTCATTTGATTCTGCCGCCCCTTCGTATGATTCCACTCCTTCATCCGTTTGATTCAGCCGCAGTTTAGGGTTTGTCCGTCTGATTCCGCCCTCCGTCTCCTTGGTCGCTAGTCACGACTCCCAACACCTCTTTGTCATCTCCTTCGATGAAGGCTCCAAATTGGAAGTCAGTAGGAGATTCGTTGTAAGGTAACAATCTCCAATATGCTTTTTATTTCTTCCGTCGTATCTTTTATCCCATCATAATCATTACTAAATCAACAATCTTTTTTCTTGCCAAATGTCAATAGTAATTCATAGGCATCTGAAGTGTAAATATCATCCAGAACTTGGCCTTATGTGACATTTCCAAAATGCATCTTCCACATGAAATCTCTCAGAACTCTTATCTGTCGTTGTGCCTCTTCCTGTAAAGTTAATTTAGTTTTTTTTCCATTAAATTCCTATCCAAGAAGGCTTTTGGGAAGTAGCAGTCAGGTGACTGTCGGCAAGCAAGTAGGAATTGAATGTTGCTTTCTATTTTTCCTGTTTGGGGAATAGTATTGCAATTAGTTTAGCAGAAATTTTGGATAAACTTGAAGCTCATTTTAAAGGTTTGGACTTTAGACCACAAACATATTCAACGAAGCCTTACCCAACTTGATTGATACTCTAAAATAAAATCCATATAATGATTTTTATAATTATTTTTTTTATTTTGCACCGTTTTCAAAATGGCGCACGTCCCTCCATGCGCTATGCGTTATGGTTCCACGAGAAACTTTGCGCCGTGGTATGTCGTTCGCCGTTTTCCGTTGACAAATATGCTCAATCCTCCCTCATTGTAACTATATTAGGGTTTTCCCCACTTCCTTGTCCAGTCAACAGTGCCCTTGTCTCCAATGATATCGTCTTGGCTGAAACTCTAGCATCATTTTCATCACCTCTATCTGATTCAAAAATTTGCCCTTAATTTGCTAAAATTAGTTCACCGAATTAAAATTTCTGATTTTCGACTTTTCCATCATGCCTCTCCTCCAACACATCAACCTTCTTAGCCGCAATAGGTTCCAAAAAATATGCTTTGATACTAATTTGATAGGAATACGATCTCCACAACCAAAAACAACAATAACGAAGAAAAAACACGCCAGAAATCAGCAAGAAAGAATGAGATTATGTGATAATTTTATTCATATCAGCACAACAGATCAAGATACAAGTTAATCTACTACTCGAAAGGTAGATCGACACTTCACAAACCCTAAGCACTGCTAAGAACAACTCCAAAGAAAACTACTCCAAAACACAAAATCCTCTCATGAAAATAAAATAATATAATTAATCTTAAATAAACCTTCCTAATTATCTCCCAATCTGAATTCAAATCAATCATCTTTCCCTAAATAAACCTTCCTAACTCCCTCTCAAATTTGACTTCAAATCAGTCCTCTTTCCCAAAATAAATCATTCTTAATTCCCTCCCAAATCATAATTCAAACCAACCATCTTTCCCTAGAAAACCTCCCTAATTCTCTCCTAATTTGGTTTTATATGGTAAGTAATTAAAAGTAGAATCATGATTTAAAATTGCACAAAAAGAGGCATGCCTCAGCATTATTTCGTTCTTTTAAGCCTCAAAGCCTACACAATGAGAGCAGGGAATGAGGCGTACGCCACAAGTTTGTTGAGGCACGCCTCGCCTCTGGTTTTAAAGGCGTCCGCCTCTTAAAATTAAAAATAAAAAAACAAAATAAAACCCTAACCTAATATTTATCTATTCGGCTCGACCCCCCCCCCTCATGTCTTTCGTCATTTTTGAATGAGGGTTTTTCTCCCTTCTTCAAGCGACATTTTCCCATCTTTGTTCCATTTGACTGGTGTCGGCTTCCTTCCACCGAGATTTCCTCTTCGCATCTTGCTTGGAGTTCTCTTCTACCGCATGTTGGCCTGGAGTCTCCTTCGACCAACCGACCGTTGAAAGCTCTTCTTCTTCGTGGTTAGAGTTTAGGGTTTATTGACAAAGGTGAAATAGTTTTACTTCCTCTTCTTCTTTGCACTCAAATGTGATTTTTTTTGTTATACCATCGCATTTATGGACATCTTCCTTTAATTTTCATTCATTTTTGGCGAAATTGTTTTCTTTTAAATTTTATACAATATTGCTTTGTTTTATATATACAATTTTCAATGTAATTTGATTGAATGGTTGTCATTGAAAGTGTAAGAAAATAAAAATGATAGGACTTTTTTATTTATGTAATATTTAGATCATTTTTGTTGAACTTATATTTATGTGGACATGTGGTTTATGCATGCATGATAAAAAGTATAAGATGCTCAATAGATATTTGTATAAATTAATGCCGAAATTTTTAGTAGGAGATATGTACTACAAGTTATGCACAAAAAATATTTTGATC